CAGAAATTTTAAATCCACACCTTTTTGAATGCTCAAAGACAAAATGTTCATCAATCCTAAAGTACCTTTCCTATGTCATAACTCTAATATAAGCCTACATACGCTGGTACAAATTCATACATAGTTGTTCTTTCAATGTCTATCAAGGAAGGAATAACCTCTAAATAGTAACCTTTATTAATTTCTTTACATATTTTTAGGGAAACATGTGAAAGAAGTTGGTAAGTCTCACTTTTCCTCTTTCCACTTTGGCAAACAGCTGGACTGCAATGAGCACAGTGGCTTTGTTTGTATTCATGTGTTTGCGGAGGGCGGGGGCGGGGAAGAGGGGTGTGATTTACTTTTTTTTCTTCATTATATTTAATTGTAAAATAGAAGCAAGACTAAGGCTGCTGAAAAGTAGTTGCAAATGGAATATTATAAACAAAAAAACTAGGGAATGAATTAAAAAATCATCTGAAAGCACTATGGAATAAGAAAAGAAGAAAAAACAATGTTTCACCTTTTGCTAAAATAAACTGAAGCATTGATTGGATATAATCAAGTTAATGATTAATCTAAATGCCTTGACTGTACTCCTGAAAATGTAACCCAAGACAGAAGTGTAAGACAACTGCAGTGATGTGGCTGTAGCATTTAGGTCCTTGAAGGGACATTCAATGTAGTCTTAGCATTTTAATGTCACAAGATATATTGTGTTAAATCTTTAGCCTCCACATGAGAAACACATATATGTGTGGTTTCATTTTTTTTAATATTGTAGTAAACACCTGATAGAAATTATATCCGTGTTTTTCCCCTCATGTATCACTATGGAAAATCATTATGTGTGTTCAGAGGAGTTCTCATACTTGAATATGTGTTTTTTTTCAGGCTGGAGAGAACTTGCTGCACTTCTAAAGGAAGGTAATAAAACATGAAATATCCTTTATCAGTATCCACGTAAGAGAATGTGGCCCCTTTTCCTTGTATGTGAAAGTGGATAACTGAAGGCATATCGCAAGGTCTCCTGCCATTCACTACACACTGTGATGAGAGGCAGGTTTTGTGGCATGACATGGCACATCCAGGCGTTATCACATCTCCTCCTCTTCCTCTGCTGGCACATGCACTACTACCTGAGGGGATGTCTGGCAGCATGTTTCAGAGTTACACAGGGCATGTGGGGCTCACACCTCCTACACAGCCAGGCCCTGCTCTGTCTCTGCAAATGTTCATCCCCTTTTGGCTTCTGCTCTGCTCTTCCTCTCACTCTTTCTCACTACTTGCTGCCTGGGAGAGGGACAGAGGCACACTTTGTGAAGGAGAAACAGAGCGAATCATTAATGTAACTAGGGGTGGATAAGTAGGGCACCAGCCTCAAGTAGTCTCCTAATAAGATGATTTAGAAGGAGTGCAAGAATGATAAAAATGCTGCTAAAAATGCTGCAGCTACCACTGCTGTCAAGGGTGCAAACAGTGCTTGTTATGCCCTGCAGTAAACTCTGAGTCTGGTGTCTAATTACTATGCATACGGTGAAAGAAAAGTGTCCAGACCAGAGTTACAGAGAGAGGGGAAAGAGGCAAACCAGAAAATCCAGTTCAAGATAGAGGGCACTTCTTCTGAAAATGAAGCAGCCAGCTGAGATGAAGTGATGGGCAGGAGAGGGAAGACTCAGAGATTGTCAGGGGCCGGAAGGGACCTCGCAAGGTTATTGGGTCCAGCCCTCCTGCACTAGGCAGGAAAGAGAACTGGGTGTCAGGTGACCCCAGCGAGGTGACTGTCCAGTCTCCTCCTGAATATTTCCAGGTAGGTGATTGCACCACCTCTGCAGGGAGCTTCTTCCACAGTCTGGACACCCCAACTGCAAAGGAGTTTTTCCTGGAATTCAGCCTGAAGTGGTCTTCCAGGAGTTTCTACCATTACTCCTGGTCTTCCCCAAGGGTGCCCTGGGGAACAGCTGTTCACCAAGCTCTTGATGTACTTCCCTGATGAAGCAGTAAGCTGCTACCAAGTCCCCTCTCAGCCTTCTCTTCTTTCGGCTGAAGAGGCCCAAGTCCCTCAGCCTTTCCTACAGCTTGCCTTGCAAGTCTCTGATCACATGGGTGGCTCTTCTCTGGACCCTCTTTTCCACATCCTTGTTGAAGTGCGGTGCCCAGAACGAGATGCAGTGCTCCAGCTGTGGTCTCACTCGCACTGAGTACAGTGGAAGAATCACTTCCTTGGTTTACATGAGATGCATCGGTTGATCCATGCCAGAGTGTTGTTTGCCCTGCTGGCTACAGCATCGCACTGATGGCTCATTTTCATGCGATGGTTCATTATTACCCCTAAGTCCCTTTCAGCCATGGTGCAAGTCAAATTGTCGCCACCAAGCCTGTAGGTATGTTGGGGATCGTTTGCCCCCAGATGAAGCACTTTACACTTCTGAGTGTTGAACTTCATCTGGTTCCAACTCGCCCAACTATCCAGCCTGCCCAGGTCCACCTATATCTGCAGCCTATCTGCAGGCACGACCATGCTCCCCCATAACTTGGGGTCATCCGCAAGCTTGACCAGTGAGCTCCTCACTCCCACATCCAAATCATTGGTAAAGATGTTGAAAAGCACCAGACCAAGCACAGGCCCCTGAGGGACACCACTGGCCACATCCTGCCAGGATGACACAGATCCATTCATAGGAACACTCTGAGTCCTCCCTCACAGGCAGTTTCCTACCCACTGAACCATCAAGCAGTTAAGCCCACAATCCTCCAATTTTCCCACAAGTATATCATGGGATAATAGATCAAAGGCCTTTTGGAAGACTAGGTATATAATGTCCACCTCCTCTCCCATGTCCAGGTCGTAGAAGGAGACTTTTCATTGCAGCAGAAGTAGTGAATCAAACAAAGCCCATTTATACACTGTGCATGTACATTTTATGACTGTTGGTTACAATCTTTTATGAGGGGTGGGTTGGGCATAGTAGATGTGAGCAGGGAGTCAAGGGAAGCAGCCTCACTACAAGTGTAACTTGGCAAGGGTTGCACCCTGCACATAACTCTGCTGGAGAGTGGAGGGCCTGGGGGGATGCCGCTGAGTGCCAGAGCAGAGGGCAGCAAGGCTGGGAGTCTTTACCTGTCCCAGGCCATAAAGTCCCTGGATACTGCTGTTGCATGATCTGCCCCTCCCCAGCACCCCCACACTGTTGCTGCTGCAGTGGAAGGAGCAGTGCAGGCAGCCACCACTCTGGTGCCTGCTAGGGCTGGCACCCTGCTCACTCACCCCTTGTTACACTATGTCTCCCTTCAGTCCTTCATGAAAGACTGTCTTATTGTCAGGGCTTCAACTGAGCCAGGGGCCTCCCACTTTATACACATCCTGCACTCAGCTCAGCCATGAAGGCATGTGGCTCCATGGACCAGGCAGAGAGGAAATGACAGCAGAGTAAGATAAAGGGCACTGTGAGAAAGGGTAGAAATACTATGCAACAAGAGGCAGTGCAGGTCTGCAATGTGGGTCTACGGATAAGGTAGATCTGAACCCCTCCTCATTCGGTCCCTTGCCTACCAGAACGAAGGCAGGATAAACCTACAGTTGCCTTTTCTTTGCTAGGATGCTGCCGCTCCACACCTCTTTTCCTAACGTGGATGCAGCTGTTGAGCAAGGAAGGATGAGGGGGAAACTTCTTTCCCTGCCTCTGGCTTCCTTGGGAGGAACCCATAGGTGTGTGCAAGAACTTCTCTGTGATCCTCCCCCTTGGCTGAGGAGTAAGGAACAGATCCCAGATTACAGATGGGAGGTCTTCTGGATCCATCAGAAAAATCGGGGAACTCTGGTCGTCAGCTGAGGTTTCCTTTGCTTTCATCCTTTCTCCCTAGTTCATCAGTCAGGACACCACTGCAGGAGCATAGCTAAGGCTGAGAGGGGCACCAGGCAGGAGGCTCACCATATTTTCTCCCCACCTGGGGCAGATTCTGGCACTGACTCAGTCCAGCCTCCCCCAGCACTCAGTCCTGCCCCTTACACTCTGGTTTTATCTTCCCTCCTGCAGCAAATGTGACTCTGGATCCAGCCACGGCTCACCCACAACTCCTGGTTTCTGAGGATCAGAAAAGTGTGAGATGGGCAGACACACGGCAGGATCTGCCTGACAACCCTGGGAGATTCGACTCTGAGCGTTGCGTGCTGGGCTGTGAGAGATTCAGCGCAGGGGGACATTACTGGGAGGTAGAGGTGGGGCACGGGAAGTACTGGGTTGTGGGGGTTGCCAGAGAGTCTGTGAAGAGGAAAGGAGGGATCACCCTTAATCCTGAAGAGGGGATCTGGTCTCTGGCGCAGTGGGGTGGCCAGTACAAGGCCCTCACAGCACCTGTGGTGACCCCCTTGTCCCTGAGTCAGGTCCCAAGGAGGATCAGGGTCTGTCTAGACTACGATGAGGGGAAGGTGGAATTTTTCAACGCTGATACCAAAGCCCCCATCTTCACTTTCCCTCCAGTCTCATTTGCTGGGGAGAGACTCTGTCCTTGGCTCTGGGTTGGGCAGGATTCCCCGCTGAGGTTATGTCCCTGAGACATGGGACAGGAGTAGAGGGTCTGTTCTGGCATGTTGATGGGACATGTGGTGGACTGGTCCATCAAAAGCATTCCTGATACAGTCCTTTCCATTTGGAAGTTTATTTCTGACCTCCAATTTGTATTTATTTTTAACCATTTTCTGGCCCCTCACCTTCCTTTAAATTAATCATTTTTCGTTTTTTAACAAACAGTAGGTTTTTTTACATCACATGTTTTAGTTTGATCTAAGAAGATGAAGGTCAATGTACAGTCTTAAACACATGTGGAGCAGTCTGATTGTTTTATCTAACATTATATTTGGGTACCCTTCTCCTGTCCCTCCTCTAATTTCTCCTGGATTCAGTATACTCCAGGAAAGTATCACAAGTTGATAGCATGACTTATCACATTCTCCATGCATAGATTAACAGGACTATCCTGGACATTATGACTTGCAACCTCGAAGGTAGAGTTTGCTCTATCATGCTATCGTTTGTCTGGGGAATCTAACACAGGGTAGTTACCTTCTACAAACATCATGTCTTTCTGCACATTTTACTTCCCTGTCTCCAGCCTCAGACATTTCCATCTCTCTGATCTTGGAGGACTGTTACCTTCTTTTAGATTTGATTGTACAGCCTGTATGGTGCTGCTGGCTCAGGGGATCTCCAAACTATTGAACCTTCGAGAACAGAAAGTGGTCAAGGTCAAACCGCCACATTCAATGGCCCAGTGCACCTTGCAGCCTGTCTCCAATTGTCCTCTACAATACAAATGGATTATCCCAGTGTATAAACTGAGACACTGACAGATGGAAACTCAAAGAGGGTGGAATGAAAGTAAAGGCAATGACTAGAAACCGCACATAACAGAGATACTGCTAAATGCCATTGGGCATGATGATATCACTGATGGTATGGCTCCTACATTGAATGCATTAATTCATGAAACATGGAGTCATTTCAATGTATCACAATGGGGTTTGTGTAAGTGCTGCTCCTTGTTTCTTTACTCATTATTGTATGGTCACTCTGAAGAGCTTTAATGTTCTCACATGTTTAGTAAATAAAATATTTTTGAGACATATATAGCTACTTTCTGCTTTTTTTCCATTCTCGTTGAAGATTTTTTTCCAGTTGTCGATGGGGTTTTTTTTCCCCTTTTTGGGAGAAATCGGGTAGGTCAGGGCATTTTTTTTTCTCTGACCAAAAACCACTAAGAGAAATCTTTTTATTAGTAGGGTGGGACTGTAGGTATTACTGGATGATGCATTTCTTCAGTGTATACCCTGGGACTTACAATGAACATAACACTAACCACAGTTATGGTCATTCCTCAAATCATAACTGTACTCTTATCTATAAACACACCATTATCTGTAAGAGTAAATACAGACATACCCAGCAACCTGAGCCATAGCCAAACACCTAACACCCAGCATGGAAGCACAAACTGGGCAGATCTAGGTTTTACTGCCTGTGTGGCTACTCAGGACACAGCTCATTGCTTTTTGCAGACAGAAAGTGGGCAGCTACTCTGGGCCCATCTATGTGCTGTGGGGACTGGGCAGGACAGCAGGATGGCTGATGAAGTGGATAGCTCTTTGGGGGCCATGCGGGAAGACCTCTGAGTCTGGATGGGGCTGCAGACTAGTGTCCTGGTCAGTTTGCACCGTTTGGCCTGGGTGGCTACTCTCCCAGCCTCCCCAGTACCACTCCCAAAGGTCTCCTCTCTATCAAACTGGAGGCTGTGTGCAGCCATCCCTCCAGAGGGTCGAGAAACAGAATCCTAAGCTGTGGGCCCGGCTTCCAGGGCTGGAAATTGTGCAGGGGGCCAAGTGGTATCAGCCAGGCAGGCTTCCCCTTGGTCTCTCATCCCTTGGAGGGTATCCAATACTGCCTCAGACCAGAGCTGGTGAGTGGAGCTGTACTCTGTCCAAGTACAAAGAATAAGTGAAGTAGCTGGTGGTACAGGGCCATGGGCCCAGGGGGAGAGTGCCAGTGTCACTCCTGCCAGAGGGCAATGGTAACCCTGGAGGCAGTGCTCCCAGGAAGTGCCAATTGTTGTAGGAGGTGCCTCTGTAGCCAATTTACTAGGTTGGCCTCATGAGATTCACAAGGTCTACACAATTGTGCGAGCCTAAAGCACTGTTTTGCTGTTATCAGCTCCAGGCCCAGATGCTCATTTTCTGTTCCCTCACCTAAAGTGGCTCAGGGAAGCTTCAAGACGTTCAATTACCTCTGGGTCAAACTGGGATGCATTGGCATCTTCCAAGTCCTCACCAGATGTTGTGCCATCTGCATCTGGACAGTGACACAATGCTGTTGTGCTATAGGGGGCCCTCTAGGCAACCTGTACCAGGATTCCTACCGTGTCCCCTGGAAATGTCCCCGCTACCCAAATCTTGGAATTCATGAGACAGACGCTGTCCTGAGTGTGGGATCGGGAGGGAGGGCACCAGACAAAGAGGGCCTATGATGCTGGAAAGAGTTGAGGAAAGGGTTGCTTATAGCCAGTCCTGCCTGGGCTGGCACTGGTTGCACTAGTTCATGATTTCTGTCCTGCAAAGAAGATTTCTATGGAGGACCTGAGCCCTAGGGGTTGGGTGTTACAAACATAGCAAACATTTGGCTGAAACTGGGCATCCAAAATCATTTTGCCACATGCTACGAGATATTGCATGAGGGTGGGCAAACACTGGAACTGGCTACCTGGAGAAATTGTGGGATCTCCATCCTTGGAAACGTTCAAAAGCAGGTTAGACAGACAGCTGGCTGTCTAAATGTCAGATCCACAGCCTGAAAAGCTGTATTCTTTAAGACAAGTCTCTGGCCATTCATTCACATACAAGCTGCAGAGATGTTTAAGGTACTCATCAGAATGGCATCTAAAGTGCACAATGCTCTTTTCCCCCACGACCTGTGTAACAAGCTGCTGCTTTGACGATGTGCTGGGACAAGTGTCTGTACCTGCTGGAGATGCACAGCCCATGTCCCTGCAGAGCTGGGTGTGGAGGAATGGGGCTGCCGCCCAGGAGGTGCTGCCCGCCTGGTTTGCTTCATGGAAAGTTATGGTGTGTGCCGGGAGGGGGGGTTTTCCTCTTGGAGGATCCATGCAGTCACCGTCAGAGAGCAGGTCCACTGGGGCTTGGATATCCTTGGCTATCACTCAGGATCTGATGGGCTTGGGTTAACAACAAAAGTCTCCTAAGGAAGATACCCACTCTGTTTTTTCCTGGCTTTGGCTTGGGCCAGAAGCTCCTGTAACCCAGGCAGTACTCCAAAAAGGTACCCCTTCTCCAATTGAAGGGATCAAAGCAGGTGCACAAGCGCTGTGGGAGGTGTAGGGGCTCTCCTCCCCCTATAGAGCAGAGCCAGACCACCACTGGGGACTTAACCATATACCTTTTAATGAGGGAACAATACTGGGGAAATATAAAAGGGCACAAAATACAAAATGTCAAAGGACAAAGAAATTTAGGGCCTAGGTACCTGGAGGGGGAGAAAGGTGGAAAACACAATGGCTCCTGTCTACTGCAAGAAGATTTTCTCTTTGTTAGTTCACTCACCCCAAGTCACCAAAGCCAGGATTTGAACTCAGATCACACACATGGTAGGCAAGAACAGTGCCACACAGCTACCACTGTTTGTACTAATCCAAACTGCTGGGGGTCTTGACTTTCCTGGAGTCCCGGCCTCATGTCGAGCTGCTTAGTCTCCCATTGGAGGAGCTGGAAGCCGAACTGGGCCCTCAGGTCGCTGCTCAGATCCTCCTGCTGGCCACAGCCTCTCCTAGGGGATCCTGGAGCCTCTTCTGCTGGCCACACACCGCGCTGCTGAGGGTCCAACTCCTGCCTGCAGGTCCTGCTTCTTCAGACTCTTCTGGGGCAACTGCTTCTGCCCCGCTGGACCAGCTCTTTGAAGCTCCTTCCTCGTACTCCCTTCCTGGTCTCTCCCTGAGTCAGCCGTGCTACCCCTTTTATCCCCCTCCAGGTGACCCAAGGGGCCAATCAGCAATCAGGGGACATGAGGGGTGAATCTCTGGGCCTAATTGGTGAGGAAAGGTAATCCAAAATCCTTCAATCATCTTTTGCCCTTTCAAAACCCCGGGGCTAGGTCACTGCCAGCTAGCCCGTCACACTCCTCATCCAAGAATCCTTTTACAGCTGCATTGTTCAGATAAGTCCTCACCCCGATTTCACTTTCTTTCCGTGGAGAAGAGCTGTGATCTATCCAGGTAATGAAAGTTCATACTGTAGTGTATGCATTGTGTAATGTAATGTGTTGTGTGAATAGGACATGTAATATTAGTATAGAGCAGAAGGGGAGCAACCCTGCAGAGTCCTGCAGGCTGTGATGCTGAACCACAAATCCCAGAGGGATCTGGAACAGGAAGAGGAAGTGATGAGGAACCCTGCAGAGTCCTGAACTACAAGTCCCACTTGTCTTTCTAAATGTGAAAAAACCCCTTTTGGTGGTGGTGCTAATGCCTGAATATGTATATTAGTGCTGTATTGAATCAATGGTCAATGCTCTCTT